AAACAATAGACCAAAGTTTGAGTCCAGGGGCACCTTTAAGACCAACAGAGTTTAATTCTGGGTATATGTTTCTGTGCGCATGCACGCTTCTTCAGATACATTGAGTCAGATGGATCACCATGTGGGTCTGAAGCAAGAGAACAGAGTTTGAGTCCAGGGGCACCTTTAAGACCAACAGAGTTTAATTCTGGGTATAAGCTTTCGTGCGCATGCACGCATCTTCAGATACATTGATTCAGGTGGGTCACCGTGTTGGTCTGAAGCAACGGAACAGAGTTTGAGTCCAGGGGCACCTTTAAGACCAACAGAGTTTAATTCTGGGTATAAGCTTTCGTGCGCATGCACGCATCTTCAGATACATTGATTCAGGTGGGTCACCGTGTTGGTCTGAAGCAACGGAACAGAGTTTGAGTCCAGGGGCACCTTTAAGACCAACAGAGTTTAATTCTGGGTATAAGTTTCTGTCTTCACACTTCTTCAGATACATGGAGTCAGATGGATCACCATGTAGGTCTGAAGCAATAGACCAAGGTTTGAGTCCAGGGGCACCTTTAAGTCCAACAAAGTCTTATTCAAGGTATAAGTGTTCGTGTTCATGCACACTTCTTCAGATACATGGAGTCAGATGGATCACCATGTAGGTCTGAAGCAATAGACCAAGGTTTGAGTCCAGGGGCACCTTTAAGACCAACAGAGTTTAATTCTGGGTATAAGCGTTTGTGTGCAAGCACACGAAAACCTATACCCAGAACTAAAGTTTGCTGGTCTTCAGAAGTGTACATGCATATGAAAGCTTATACCCAGAATTAAACTTTGTTGGTCTAAAAGCTGCCACTGGACTCAAAAACGTTGTTCTCATAAATGCAGTGGTTAAGTCTTCCTAATGGGTGGAAGGCAGTGGCTCAGCAGTAGAACATCGGCTTGGCAGGCAGGAGGTCCCTGGTAGCATCTCCAGTTAAAAAGGACTGGGCAGTAGGTGATGTGAAAGACCTCTGCCCTGAGACCCTGGAAAGCCACTGCCAGTCTGACGAGACAATACTCACCCTGATGGTCTGAGTCAGTATACGGCAGCTTCATGTGTCTGTGTGTCCCCTAATTAATGGAGATTAGCTGATCAACGTCTGCTCCATTGTCTGTTCTGAGTGAAGTGTAGACTGTACTGATGGATGGAGGTTTCGTTTACCCCTTGCTAAATGTCTTCTTCCTTGTCTGTGCTGAGTAGAGCGTAAACTGCACTGATGCATAAAGGTTCTGTTTAGTTGTTGGTAAGCGTGTCTTGCATTACCTGTGGTGAGGGGTAGACTGCAGCGATGCATGGAGGTTCCATTTAGCTTTTGGTAAACATCTTCATGGTATGTCCTGAGTAGAGGGTAAACGGCACTGATGCATTGTGGTCCTGTGTAGCTGTTGGTAAATGTCTTCCTCATTGTCTGGCAGAGGGTAGATTGGACTGATGCATGCAGGTTCTGTTTAGCTGTTGGTCAATGTTCCCTGTGTTGTTTGTTTTGAGTAGAGGGTAGATTGCTTTGAGACATGGAGGTTCTTTTAAGCCATTTGTGGTTCAACAGCTGTTGACAGAACTCTTCCATGAATTTATCCCATTCTCTCTCTCTTAAACCTAAGTTTCTCCTAGTCTTGATTTTCTCTTTAATGGAGACACACAGCGGCTTATATCATCATTCTTCATTTCATCCTCACAATAAACCACCCTGTGAGGTAGGTTAGGCTGAGGGAGAGTGACTAGACCAGGGCCATCTGGCAAGTTTCCATGACACAGTGGAAATTCAAACCCTGGTCTCCCAGATTGTAGTCGAACACCAACCACAAATGGCTGCACCTGTGGTTACATTGGTAGCCGTGACCATCTTTCATTGGGTAACTGGGAGAGCCAGTTTGGTGTAGTGGTTAAGTGCGTGGACTCTAATCTGGGAGAACCAGGTTTGATTCCCCACGCCTCCACTTGCACCTGCTGGATGACCTTGGGCAAGCCATAGTTCTGGCGCAGCTGTTCTTGAAAAAGAGCAGTTTCTGTCAAGAGCTCTCTCAGCCTCACCCACCTCCCAGGGTGTCTGTTGTGGGGAGGGGAAGGGAAAGGAGATTGTCAGCTGCTCTGAGACTCCCTTGGGTAGTGAAGGGTGGGATATAAATCCAATCTCCTCTTCTTTTTCACTGTGGTGATTAGGATAGTAACCATGTGGGGTGAGTGATTTGAGTGCTACGTTAATGTGAAATATCAGTAATATTTTGGCACAAGCTTTCATGGATCTACATGACCACTTTCCCTTGTGTCTGTCAAAGTGGGCTCCACAAAAGCCAGCACTACATTTAAAACTTGTTCTTTAGGATACCTCAGGACTCCTGTTTTAACTTCTGTTCACTGTACTATGACAGTTGAACTTGGGTGTTAACTAGTGAAAATGATCCATAGGGGGTTGGGACAGACAAAAAGGTGCTAAAGTGTTTGATGCATGCTGTAATGATCTAGCACAGTGGTGGCGAACCTATGGAATGGGTGCCAGAGGTGGCACTCAGAGCCCTCTCTGTGGGCACGCGTGCCATCGCCCCAGCCAGGCCCAGACCATCATTAAAGTGTCGAATTCTCTGCCCAATAATTTTAAGTAAATGAAAGCATTTGGGATTTGTTAGGATCATCTTAAGTTAGTGTATGAGTTTTTCTTTCTAAAGTAAAACCTCAGTATTCAGGTTAAATGGCCGTGTTGGCACTTTGTGATAAATAAGTGGGTTTTGGGTCGCAGTTTGGCACTCGGTCTCTAAAAGGTTCGCCACCACTGATCTAGCAGAACGTATTGCCACATGGTGGGCGTTGGCGTGTCAGCGGTTGGTAGCCATGAGGGGGGAAATGGGAGTGGCCTGATGCAGAGCCGCCAGTCTTCTGATTACCTAGGAGGCAGAGGAGAAGTGGCTGTCTCCCCTCATGCCCGGCTTGTGAGCTTTCCAGGGGCGTCTGCCTGGCACCTGCGCTCGGGTGACTGGGCCGAGGCGAGTCAGACATCTTCATCATTCGAACCTCTTCTGCATACCTTTCTGGAAGCCCTTCCACGTGGGTGTGGCTGAGGAGGGCCGTCTGCCATTGTTTTCAAAAGTGCCTGCCGGACTGGGTGATATAACGGAGGTCTATCCTTGGTTATTCCTAAGTGCAGCAGCTGAGGACAGGGGCACAGCCCTTTCTGAGCCTGTGGTTGTTGTCGTTCAGTCGCACAGTCGAGTCCGACTCTCCGCGACCCCACGGACCACATCATGCCAGGCCCTCCTGTCTTCCGTCGTGCTCCGGAGTTTGCTTAACGTCATGTTCGTTGCACCGATAACACTGACCATCTCATCCTTTGCCGTCCCCTTCTTCTTTGACCTTCAGTCTTTCCCAGCATCAGGGTCTTCTCCAGGGAGTGCTCCCTTCTCATTTGGTGGCCAAAGTATTTGAGCTTCAGTTTCATTATCTGGCCTTCCAGGGAACAGTCAGGGTTGATTTCTTTTAGGATTGACTGATTTGATCTCCTTGCAGTCCAAGGGACTCTCAAGAGTCTTCTCCAGCACCATAATTCAAAAGCATCTATTCTTGGCGCTCGGCCTTCCTTATAGTCCAACTCTCGCAGCTATACATGACTACTGGGAATACCATTGCTTTGGCCATATGGACTTTTGTTGGCAGGGTGATGTCTCTACTTTTTATTGGAATTCTGACACAGAATGGTGGGCACAGCCACAAAATGGCAGGAGGAGGAGAGGATTTATACCCCTCCCTTCACTACCCGAAGGAGTCTCAGAGCGGCTTACAATCTCCTTTCCCTCCCCCTCCCCACAACAGACACCCTGTGAGGTAGGCGGGGCTGAGAGAGCTCTTTCCAGAACTGTCTTTGAGAGAACAGCTCTGAGAGAACTTGTAACTGACCCAAGGTTGCACCAGCAGCTGCCTGTGGAGGAGTGGGAAATCAAACCATGTTCTCCCAGACTAGAGTCCATGCTCCTAACTTCTGCACCAAACTGGCTCTCCGCTACACCAGACTACACCATATAAGAGGGTACAATGGCTACTGCAGCTGACCTTCAGTCACACAGTGAAGATTCTTGTGGTGGCAGCT